CTTGTTTTAGCCCCTTAATGCCGAGCGCCAGACAGGGTAACAACAAGTACCATCTTTTAACGTCTTTTGGTATGACGCGGTCGGGGATCGAACCCCGGACCTTCCGCTCTCTGGGCGGACGCTCTACCACTAGACCAGGGAGGCGGTATGTAACATCAATCAAGACATGTGATGAACGTCCCAGGATCATATTGTTCATCAATATGATGGCATTCATCTTTACTGGCCAATAAGCTCTGAGAAACGTTAAAATGCAAATGTGCAAATACACTCGATATGTACACTTAGGGAATAACCAACGGGCTACGATGAATTACGGGGGTGAAGTGAGGTGAAATTAGGTAATCTGGACTGGTTCATATTCTCTTGCATTGACAATTTATATTGCTTGAACTGGGTCCATGTTTCTGCTGGTGGACTGAACTCCCGAGTTTCATTATAAGCTCAGAAGCATTTATCTGTGAAAACTACCAAAAACTGTTTGGGCCAAGACACTAAAATTGTCTCCAACCGTGTTGCAATCTTTCCTTATTAGCAGCAGAATCTCTGCACTTGTACACAGCAGATGTAATTCAATCTTAGCCCTAAGTGATGCAGGTCTCAGACGTTTACCACTTCGGTGAAACCCACAAGCACGGGTATGGTGCTGTCAACCTAGAAACACAATCGGGGCGAAACGGGATTCGAGCCAACAACCATAGGTTTCTAGGCGCCATGTGTGAAGCCCATTTCTGGTGTCCCCCGCCGTGATATTGCTGGAATATTGCTAAAAGCGGCGTAAAACCATACTCACTCACTCAAAGAGACAGCGAATTGCAGGTGATTAGACGACTGGGATGGTTGGTTGGTTGGTTGGTTTGTTGTTTTACGCCGCACTCAGCAATATTCCAGCTATATGACGGCGGTCTGTAAATAATCGAGTCTGGACCGGACAACCCAGTGATTGATATGATGAGCATCGATCCACGCAATTGGGGATCATGCTTCTACCAAGTCAGCGAGAGACGACTGGGTCACCCATGCCCCGACTAAACATGTGGAAGGGTGACATTCCCAAGGTGAAGGGAAAACATCACATCCTAAGTTTATCGGCATATTGAAGGGTTGGTTGGTTTGTTGTCTTACACCACACTCAGCAATATTCCAGCTGTATGACGGCGGTCTGTAAATATCCGAGTCTGGACCAGACAATCCAGTGATTAATATCATGGTGTCGATGACATGCTTCAACCAAGTCAGCGACCCTGACCACCCGATCCCGTTAGTCGCCTCGTACAAGCAAAGTCGCCTTTTACGGCAAGAATGGGTTGCTGAAGACCTATTCTACCCCGGACTTTCACGGGTCCATATTGAAGGAGGAGCAGACACCCACCGAGACAACAACCATCCAACTGCTGACTGAAGGCAAACAACCACCGAGAAAGAAGTACCGGCAACTAGACCATGAACGTCAACGACAGAAGTGACTACTTGAAAATGGCCGGCCTACAGTCACCTCTCCACTATGCAGATGTGTTTCCCACCTGGTAGGACTCAAGTAACGAATGTTCATGTGTATGAGATTATATTATGAATGTACCTGCTGTAATGCATGGACAATTATTTTATATTGTGTGTTGTTGACACAGGTCTTGAAATCTGTCTATATTTACGAATTTATGAAGAAACATCGATGTTTTAGACAAATATTGTATATAATTGCCGTATGTAAATAAATACTGAATGAACATCATTTTCGTATTGTCTACACTTTTATGAGTGTTAATGATAAATTAAGCAGTATATGAAGTTATTATTGTTTACATATTTGTTTATAAGAGTTGACTTTATAATGCTTTTTGATGTTATGGATCATAAACGTATAAACCTGTGTGTGCATTTTACACAACATACACAGCGCTTTTTACGTTCACAACTGCATAACCGCAAACAATATCAATGTCAGTTCTTAATTGTCTTGATAATGGATCAATGTGACCTCATATCTCTTTACTGATCAGTATTGAGAATCGGTTATTTGCACATATATGTGCAAATATCTTGAAAGTATTACATTCGATCTTTATACCATGTAGGGAAATATTCAGTAACAAATAAAATTTGTAAATATTATTATTACAAAAGGAAACCCATTTGGCCAGCCTCGTGAAGATCCATACAAGTCGGATGGTCTGTCTGAACGCACATCGCAGCGTACTGTTTCATGACACATTCTTGTCATGTCGAAACTGACATGATGATGGTGTGAGATCAGTCGCACTTTCAAATTACGGTCCACTGTCATACAGCGTGATATTAGTCCTAAGAAGATCGTACCCGTACTATGTCATGGACTTAAATTGCCGTAGGGCTAATATCGCTTGGGAAGGGTCCGGAAAGTCTAATGGCGGAAGAGCCGTGAAGATTCGGTTTACAATAGGTCTTCCGTAACCAATTCTTGTCGTGAAAGGAGACTAACGGGATCGCTGACTTAGTTTGATGAATGTCATTGTATCCCTTTTGTGTAGATGGATGCTCAGGATGTCCATCATTGGATTGTCTGGTCCAGACGCGATTATTTACAGACGGCTTCATATAACTGGAATATTGATGAATGCGGCGTTTAAACAACAATCAACAATCAATACCAATGGCGGTAACAAAATAGATCTAACTGTCACACCTACGTACAAAGTCTTTGGATGATGCAAATTCCCAGACACTGGCGCATTTTTTGAAAGACCAAAGTCGGGAAATTATACTGATTATACGCCCGCTTCCTTTCATCGCATCTGCGGAAAATCGTCAAGGCATTGATACAGATGGGGTATGTATTTCTCTTTTCTGGGGACATTTTGCTTGAATCATCTCCCCTGCAATCTACGTTTCTTCCACACAAAAATGTCATGAAGACACCTTTCCAAACAGTCAATAAGACTGCATCAAAAGTAACTGAATGTTCATTGTTAAGGATTTTCAACACCAATGAGAACAGATGAGAGGATTTAGTCAAAGCGGACAACTGTTTGTCAATAGAGGTCTGAGAAACGCCAGATTCAAACGAATACAATTTATTTATTTTTTTAATTCCATAGTTATATCCATTACCCTTTTAACTACACCGAGGCCATCCTCGATAGCCAAAGGTATAATATCTCCATTCCATAATAACTACCCTGTTTCCATTTGCTGCAATATCTTACTTTGTGACATTGATTTGAAGGCACAATGCTCAAGATATATATATAACTGCCCATTCAAACTACACTTGAGAAATTCATTGTGATTAAGTAATAAGAGAAAATGATGACTTCATTTCCCCAAAGCAGCTTTGGGAGTGAATGGGTCAAGGGCGTACCACAGGCCCTCAACATCACAATATCCGTCAATATATGTTGCCTTCCTTCTTTACTTCAAGTACATCATATATACTACTCAAAACAAGTTAAAGAACTCTAGGAGCGAGGCTTGAGTTATTTTTGCTTCACTGGATATTGATGAAATCTAATCACTTGTTTCATGATGACATTTATTCAACTGGTGACAGTGTTATTGGTTTGCAAAGAAAGCTGGATGCCCTTGATGTTTTATAATAAATGGGGCTTAGAGGTTGATATGGATAAATCTAATTATTTTCTTCAGAAATGGTAGTTACTTAAAGACAACTAAAAAGTAGCAAATGCAAACTGTAACAGGTTATCAATATTCAGGTATTGTCTTAAGTCTAGATTAATTTGGTCGAAGGCGTGTGAGACATTATCTAGACAAGCAATAATGACTGTTTCCTTGTCTTCTCTACTCAAAAGATACCACTCAATACTTTTCCACAAAAGATAGCTCCCATTGAAAACTGGGGTTTCAAGCATGGGCAAGTTATGTAAAAAGTTGAAAGTCCCTCTTTTAAATGTTATTTATTTGTATCTAAAACAGTTTTAAATAGGCGTGTGCTAGGAGAGGTTGGGAGGCACTATTTGTGTTAAATACTGTACACATTGCATCAAGTTTTGGTGTAGATCGTTATCTATGAATGAAAGCGATATCCATGTTATCAAATGCTAACAGTATTTGATGAAAATGGTAAAATTACCAAATCCAAAACATAAATGTTGCTATTTCAAACTGTTTGGATTACCCAAGATCGTGGAAATGTAGACCTTCTTATTCATCGCTTTGTACAAGGTTGTAATGACATACAGTTCTAACTTGGTGGGGTAAAGTTACTAGCTCTACATATTTAACCATGTACGCCTGTTATAAAACAATTCTTGAACCTGAAAAATATGTCAGATTGATATTCAACTTTCGTTGTTTGTCACACAAATTGAAAATTCAACAACATCGCTATCGCCCGTGTGGATATTATTGAACCTCTTGTTTGTCCTTGCAGATACCCCCAGACAGGTTTAAACTGTCAATAATATTGAAACATATTATGTCTATCTAACGAGAGAAACATTCTGTCTGTTATTATTATCTTCACAAAATGTTAAACGCATTGATTGGCTGGAATATATATAAAAACAAATCTACCTATTGAGCTGCATATGTACATATATAATGTTATGTTCCGCGCACATTACTATTAGTCTTATTGTATTTAGTACTATGGGCCATGAGGCAGGAAATACAAAAAAGTTGTCATTAAAGCACACTTACAACTGGAAGGCTGTGGATTTAAATAACCACCAGCCATAATCAATTAAAAATAGTCCTATGAAAAGGTTTGGTGGTTTTCAACTTCTTTTGAGAAGAAAACATTGTCCTATCAAACATTCCAGCTTCGAATCCCTTGACAGTCAATGAACAGAGGTAAATGCATTGTTATAAAACATATAATGCCTCCGGCATACAGTTCTGCAAAATGTGGATGACAATTTAATAATTCATTGTGGCTTTAGAAACACTCAGTTAAGTTAAATCTGAATAGAAGAAACTAAAAATAATCGTACATTTCACACATAATATCTTTTGTTGTCCTTTTTGTTGTTCCCAATCCTGACATGTCGATAACAAACTAAATGTTATCATACAAATGAAAGTTTATTGACTTCCAATGAAGAAATATTACAACAGCGTCAATGTTCAAGTCATTTAACATCAATTACGCAGCTGTAAAGAGATTTGAATAAGCTTAATTAAAAAATACATTAATTTGTAATCATGTCAGCTTGTTCCATCAACACATACCTACATAAACAATGGATGACATTATGCATCTCACATTCCGTAATCAATTTCATGGGGTAAACAAACAGCGCCCGAAGAGGCTTGACATTGACGTCAGAGGTCCAGTCAATCCCATCGTCAATACTTCACGGTGTTGAATACCCTGTGTTCCTCCATCAGCCTTGAATATCTACAGCCTCTATACAGTGAAGTACTGACACGTGTCTATTTCTAGTATGCTAATGAAATGAGGTCATTTATAACTCATAGAGGTCAAATGAGCCCTTCTCCGTAAATGATGTAAATCTACCACTGCCTGATACTAATGCATTGCACAGAGCAGCCCAAGCCACACATTGTCATGCAAAAAATATTACCGTTTGTGGAATGTAAACTGAGTGAGTGCTCATTTGTCTGATCACTCGCTACCTTCCCTCTTGCTTGGAACAGGCAATTGCTTTTTTGATGGTTAAAAATAGCAACTACGAAGCTAGATGGCCATTTAACGGAGCAGCATTGAGAATGCCAACCTGTGAAGTATTGACAATGAGTGAACCCAGGCCACAGTGAGAGTGATGTCTGAATGTGTGGAAGTCTTAGAGTTGAGTTTGGTCCCTGTCGTCCCTAATCAATCACTAGCAGTGTAGGGGGAAGAATGGGGACAACTGCGAACACTGACTATTGGTATTAACTATTAAGCCAACAAAAATATTAAAAAGTTCAGAAAATATTCTTGGTTCTCAGACCCCACATGCATTCATTACTACTGTTAGATCCAAAGATCGGGGTTCGAATTTATATGAACCTACAATTGATCTTTCTTGAATTTATTGTTTACAAACCTGCCTGTATTAATTTTCAAAAGTCATTGTCCATGCCATTTCATTTTTGAAGCCTTAATATTCAGCAAATAAAATGCCGAAAAATTACTGAAGGAGAATAACAGTGACACAGAATTAACAAGGAAAGCTGTGAGGTAGATCTCATAAGTAAATTATGAAGACAATTCTCTCAGATATATTTATGTGTGTTAAGCCATCCAGGGTCCAGGGCCTTAGATACATAGCACTTGAAGCAGAACATGGATAATGTATGTACAATCTATGGAACAAAACACAGCACACAACCAGTGAGGTGGTATTTGGTCCTAGCTGTTGCATGTATGAAAGCAAAACCATAGCTTGGTGGAGTGTGGCTGGAGTCGGGCACCGCTGGGGTGGTTGCAGCCATTTGAAACACACTGTTGACGGACAAGATGTCTCAGCTGTCCATAGAATTAGCTTCTACCTCCAGAACCCGGGGAGCAAACAGCAAGACGTACGCACAGTGCCAGTCACCTGCAACATCATCAACATGGGTACTGGCACTGATCAAGGATGATGCTCTCCTGGAGGCAGTGGTACTTAGAACATTCGCCTATTTCACTACAAGTCAGGTAAATCTGTGTGAAAGTGTTTTTTTACTTTTAAAAAAACCAAAACAACAACAAAAGGTATTTAAAAAAACAACTAAACAAAACAGACATTCAATATAATAATAAACACAAATTTACAGCATGAAATTAGTACAATGTCAATTATCTTTGAACAAACTTCAAGATTTCCCCAACTACCCACTGCCAAAGGTTTTCGTAAAAATCCTAGATCTGACTCTAAAAAGATGTGAAGAGATCTAAAACAATCTGAAAGTCTAAAGAACACTGTACAGCAAAACATATTCCTACCTCCTCCTGACAGCTTGAGAATATCCTCCGCTGCAACTGCAGATACTCTGTCATCATCAAACATAATCCATTCATCTGAAGACAAGATGGAAGGTGAGATCAGTAAGACACACAGAGAGCTGAGTTTCAAGTGTAGACACACAAATAATGCTGCAGTAGGCAGTGTTGCAGCTACATAATGTCAGCCTTTATCAAACCAGTGGTTGATAGGATGAGCAACAGTCAGCACCACCAAGGCCTGCTGGCACACATTGTGTCCACCTGATCCTAATAGCAGGAGATATGTGTTCTCTCGTATAATCAACTTCCGAACAAAATTAATATCAAAACAATTTTTAAAATTCTAAAAAATATTTATTCAGACTGGACATACAAGGGTTGATTAACAAGTTTGAAGCCTCACATAGAAAGAATTGCGTAACTGTGAAATAGTTTGTTTTGGACATAACATGATGTTCAAGAAAGGTTTATAGATCTTATCAATCAACCTTTGAAAGTTGAATTGTCTTCTTCATTAAAGAAACTATAGTGCATATCAAAGGAAATCCTGGTGCGCGACAGCGCTTGAAGCCTGTCCATATATCAGTATCTCACCTCCCTTCTTGTGCACCCAGGATACATAATGGCCGCTGGAACTTGACCGGCCTTTGTGTGTGAGCACTGCCTTCAGTTCATAGTACCCACTGTTGTTGGACCCAGGGTCTGTAGACAGAGAACATGCCTTCACATATACAGAACACATCTATCAGAGTAACAGCACCGACTATCAAGATAATATAGCACCTGACTATCAAGCTAACATAGCACCTGACTAACAGTTAAGTTAGTGTTGAAGGCAGGGTGAATTAATGTGGTTTTACACCACAGCGGGAAATATGAGAGGAATATCAAACAGAATCATCTGGGATTCAAAAGCCAGTAGCAGGAAAAATATATTAGGGAAAATATATTAACATTGCATTCAATGCAATTCATTGCAATGATGTAAAACTAGGCATCAAGGCCTCTTCCACCTAATGGTCAGAAATACAGAAGTTTTACATTCACAAAGTCTACTTACATTAGTGATAATCAATCAAATAACATGAATTGGATTTTCTTAATTCTTATCTGAGATTTCTTACTGACATTTGCTCAATAGCAGGGGCCGAACATCGGCCTCTGAACAGGTCTAGATAAATCCTCATCATGAAAAAAATTGAACAGACAACGATGGTAGAAAGCATATGAATAGCTTGATGGGAAGTGGTTTGTTAAAAAAGTGACCATTTACACTACTGCAACTCCCATGCTTCAACAAACATTTATGACAACCAACGTTAGATGTCAGTTCTAGCAGAAAGAGTTGGTCCATGTTTGAGAGAACAAAAATTTGAGACATTGAGTATAACAAAATGTAATAGTTCTTATTGAGCATTTAGAGTTTCTTTGGGTGTCCAATATACTTAACTCCCTTGAGTCAAACCTATTGGGTATATATATTTGAATGGGGGTATATATATTTTTATAAAATGAAACTGCTTAAAATGCTGCATCATTTCATGTACATCTAACCGACATACCATCCTCAAACCAGTAGGGAAGTGTCTTCTTCTCCGTGGGTTTACTCTCTTCCTCCTTCTCGCTCTTGTCGGACAACTTGGCCTGCAACCAACCACACCAACTACACATGAGAGTTTCACTGAGTGAGTGGGTGGGTAAGTGAGTGAGTGAGTGAGTGAGTGAGTGAGTCTAAAATGACACAGCTTGGAAGTGAGAGATTTTGGTGACAATATTTAAGTCATTTGACGGTGTGTCAGCTTGAGGGAAGTCTCAAGTGAATCGGGATACAAGTCTATTCTCACCTTGGTTAGGGCTTCAGTCTGCTTGTCCTCCTCTTCCTTAAATTTCTCTCTAAGTGGCATCAGTTTCTTCTGTAATTCTTCAGTACATAGATCATACACATCCAGATTCATTGAAAACTTCACATCCTGAATAAAACAATGTTCAATATTAATACAACCAGTGTGTTTGTTTTATTGTCGGAGACTGCAATATCCAATCCATATCACCACTCGATAATATCGTAAAAAAACAAGTCTGGTTCTATGCTCATAGAATGTTATCTGTTGTTGCTGGGATTTGCCCAATTTAGCTCATAAATTAGAGTAACCTCCCTTTGTTATGGCTGTAAGCTCCTATCCAGTGTATGACACGTTTGTATACATAGAGCTCCGCGAACGGGTTATCACTGTGAGGAGCCTTGTTTACAGTAGGTGGCACATTGGGACAGACTACCTCATTCAAAATGTTTCTTGAGGTAGCAGTATCTCGAAGGCTCCATGAAAGGGCTCCATGAGGGCGATTCAAGGCCTTCTATGACCTGACTTGTGACTTATCTTCTTGCCTTCCAGTGCACACAGCATACCTTCCAGAGCACACAGGATACCTCCCAGAGCACACAGGATACCTTCCAGCACACACAGGATACCTCCCGGAGCACACAGGATACCTTCCAGTGCACATGGGATACCTTCCAGTGCACACAGGATACCTTCCAGTGCACATGGGATACCTCCTAGTGCACACAGGATACCTTCCAGTGCACTGATATTTCAAGAGTGCAGCAATATGTTGCTGCTGCTACATTTTTCACCCATTGTATTGATTTTTGTGATCGTAACTGTTTACTGATCGCACAATTTAGTTCTGTACAGCCAAATTTCTTGGTTAACCTTCGCATTTCAATTCGGGAATCAACTCTTAACGCTCTGTATACTGTGAATAACATGTCCAATGCACAAACAAAACATGTCACTTACAAATAGACAATGTTTCAGTCAGTGCCAATTTACATTTATCAGAGGGGTACAAAAAGTATGTGATCTAAACTTCGGTGGCTGAGTGGGTTAGGTCGCTGGCAATCACTCACTTGTGTGGTGCCTCACTCTGAGACTGTGGGTTCAAATCCCCGATCAGGCTCCCCAAAAGTAATTGAATTTGTACTCAACTTAGAAGCTATAATCCTAAATATAAATGTTATATGCGACTTACCTTCAGAATTTTGGCATTGATTGCTTCCTTTTCTTTAAAGTAAAACCGGACAAATTGGACTGCTAAATATGCTGGCAGACGTTTTATCTTACTCTGAAAAGAAAAACACCATTGAGCTGTTGTAAAGTAAACATATCATTGAACATGAGGAAGTGTGTCCTTCATGAATAAGAATCTTGCTTACTTCGTATTTGTATGCAAGTGTATAACACTAATTTACATGTCATCCTTCAGGTTAATATGATGTATACCCTTGCCACCAATAACTTTGTTTTGAGACCATTTTGAATAACATGATTCTATAAATAACCAAATTACACTTTTCTTTCACTACTTTTTTTCACTACTACAAACACGCAACAATATCACAAGTACTCTAACAAATCTTTGCCTGGCTTCTGTACTGGGATTTTATAATTCAACCAGAACATTTGGTAGCATAAGGACTTCCCTCCCCATGACTCACAACAGCTTTTCAAGTTTATAAACATGATGAACAAGAGACATTCTGGATAACAGAGAGTGAGCTTGAGATGTCACTTCATAAAGCTATTAGGGCGAACGGGTCCTGGGTATTCATCGTCAATAAATGGAGATGGAATACACTTATCAAGGATTTTTGCACATGTAAAATCACTTCTTCTTTTTTTAAATATGTTTGATTAGTTCTAGGGCTGGGACGGGTAACTCGGGTACTCGAGTCAGGTGGGTCTTGAGTAGGACTCGGGTACCTACAGAACTACCCGGACCCGTGGTTAGTCACATGGTATATTGTTTAATGACAAAAGTTGTCTAAAACCCTATGGTTACACTTCAAGTCACTAATGTTCCCATTTCTTTCTGACTATGCACCCATTCCTTTTGACTTTTATATGTTTGAATAGAGAAAACTCCATGCAGTAAACTTCAGTGTATGCATGACCAGATCGTTTTACATATGAATCTAAAAACATTTGAGGGGGCTACGGTAAAACTTTTCCAAATCGGACAGTTTGTACCTATCTCTACCCAGGTAGGGTTGGGTAATAGGGTGGAGGGTACCCGGGTAGCATATTTGGACTTGTCCCAGCCCTAATTAGTTCCCTATTCATTGTTTGGATATTGGATTATAGTTTCCCCTGCAGTACAAATCACTGCACCCCTGCAGAAACAAGTACAAACCATCACAATCACATAAGTGTTAATATGTGGATACGAAACTTCCCCTCTAATATGAAACTGCCTTCTATGCTTTGGGAATGACTTTACGGCGGCCATCTTGGTTTGGGTTAGTGAGTGAGTGAGTATGGTTTTATGCCGCTTTTAGCAATAGTCCAGCAATATCATGGCGGGGGACACCAGAAATGGGCTTCACACATTGTACCCATGTCCGGAATCGAACCCAGGTCTTCGGTGTGACGAGCGAACGCTTTAACCACTGGGCTACCCGACCGTCTCTGGCAGTTGAGTGACAACATGTGTGAGTGCAGGAGGAGTATTGTGTTGGCTGAATACAAGTGTATATGAAGAAACTGTTTCTGTCTGTTTTAACTATAAGTATTAGACATTAAACAAGTTTTGAGCAACTGACACACTAGCTACCAAAGTAGCCTTACCTGAATACCCTCAACATGCTTAATACTTACAGATTTTGTATACAAAGCATCTCTTCCTAATGTAGGGGAATTCTTTGTAATTGTTTCTTCTAATCTCTGCAAAAAGAAGCAATAAAACCAAAATGTATTTTTGAAAAAACAAACATTTATGGATGTGTAGATAAGGAAACAAAACAACCGTATTTGAAGTAATAAGCGCCCAGGGCGCTCACAAAATTAGAAATAGGTGGCTCTTATTATCTGCCAAGTCAATCATACTTACACCTCGTAAACCAGTGGCCATGTATTTAACCTCTGCAAACAGACAAAACAAAACCTTATTAAATGATTTTTTAAGATAAAAATGTCATTTATACTTATCCTGACCCATACTAGTTTGCTTATCTCTTCTTATTCCCGATATGTAGTGGAAACGCTTGTGCAGTGTTCTCAATAAACAGAAAAACATTTCACTAAAACACACGCCTCTCACATGCAAGTCAAAGTGTGAATTCTTGTTGAACTGAGATTTGTTTGTTTGTTTGTTGTTTAACGCCACACTCAGCACTTTTCCAGCTATATGATGGCGGTCTGTAAATAATCAAATCTGGACCAGACAATCCAGTGATTGACATCATGAGCATCGATCCACACATTTGGGATACGATGACATGATTCAACCCAGTCAGAGAGCCTGATCACCTGATCCTGTTAGTTGCCTCTTATGACAACGCTTTAACGATTTGAAGAAGCTATGTATGGGATGCAGGTGAATTCTGCCATGTACTGTCAGAGCTTGGGCAGAAGTGAGCAGACCTTAGCTCACTTGCCACTGATTGACTGATGCCTGTTTGTGATTTGCGGCCAGATGATAACTATGGATTTTGATCCATCGATCTTTTGGAACTTGAATAAGGTTCTGCCCCGACAGGAACCTGATGCTCAAGAACTTGACATCGTTGGACTTCTGATAATTGACTGACCATCCTAACTGTTCTTTGAAAGGCATTTAGTAGTGATACACATTAGGAAGTGAATTTATGGATGTCAACTTCTTTTTTAAGAGGAGTGAGTGAGTGAGTTGGGTTTAACGCCGCTTTTAACAGTATTCCAATTATATCACGGCGTGTCAGCTTAATGTGGGAGGAAAGCCCGAAGTGATGCAGGTCTCAGACGTTTACCACTTTGGTGAAACCTACTAGCACGGGTATGGTGCTGACAAACCTAGAAACATAATCGGGGCGAACCGGGATTCGAACCCACAATCATAGGTTTCTGGCGTGCCCAAGGGACGCAACTCTGCACAGCGAATCGCGGCGCCTTAGACGACTGGGCCACCCGTGCCCCCCTTTTTTAAGAGGAACACAACACATCACCTGATGAAGGAGTAAGCATATACTCAGAAACGTTGTGTTCCTCATAATAAAGAAGTTGACATCCATATATTCTCTTCCTCATCCTAACTGTGTTAGTAGTTTTAGAGTGAAATTCAGTTGGAGTCTGAGTACCTCCACTTGTTGATGAGCTTGATTGCAGTGTCTCCGGATATTGAACAATCGGCGGATTGAGAGAGAGGGGCTTCCTTGCATACAGTTGGACTGTAGCCCTTTCTGAGAATGTTAGATGCAATCGGGTCATCCAGGATGTCCCACTTTTTCCAATATCTTGCCAGTCTTCCACCTACAGAAGATGGCTGTAGTTAAATAACTGGGGTTGGAAGATCCCAGTTGTTCATCAGCTCCCTTTCAACGATAGGCACAGGACCATCTAGATCCCTGCCCTCGACCAGACTGATCACCTGGTCTGTCCTGAGGTCTCCAAAAGGCTGTGGTCAGTTTTGAGAAGGAGGGTTCAGATTGAGAGCACGGAAAAAAGGTTTCCAAACAGCAAGCTGTCGGTCATGTGGTTCCAGTGCACCTGCACATGAGATGGGTGTGTTTGGGTGAGATGTTTTTTTGTTCACTGGGAACACAGCACAGGAAGTTTTTACTATCTCTTGGGAATAAGAAGAGATAAGCAAAGTAGTATGACTCAGGAAAAGGTAAAATTATACTTATAAATACAACAATGAAGCTCTCCATAGCTTGTTTGTTATTTATTGATGCGCTCAACAATATTCCAGCTGAATATGTCTGCAGTGTGCCTCTTGAACAGTATTTCAGTTTAATAACAGAGCGTCAGCTTTCCGTGAAAGGAAAGCCAAGTGGGCTGTAGACATTGGCCACTTTGTTGAGATCCATGAGCATATGTATGTACCTGACAAACAAGGGATCAGAAACTGGGACTTAAGCCCCAAATCACCAGATCCTGGCATGAGTAAAGCACAGCAAATATGTGTCCTTTATCAGCAGGTTGTGTTGGACAACACTTCATGCAAATGCAACTGGCATCAAAAAACATCACAAGGATGCAAAACAAATCAGGAAATGTATTTTTACAATTTCTACCTTTTTCTATAAAACAGCTGAGCTGCAGGAAGGATTCTGTAGACTTTTTCTCCTCCTCCTCGGGAGCTTCTGTACACTTCATACTGAGGCAAGAGTTAAGGATGTCCAAAGCCAGTATTCTTGGGACTGTTACTGACATAGCTATTTTCAAAATCTGTATGACTTCAATCATCTTCCCGAGGTAAGGGAGTTAAATGACTGTAAAAATTCAGTTTCCACCCTTGCCGAACTAGGCAGTAATTTCTGGGTTCAATTGTAGCGCCACCAGTGGCTATTACAATTTATGTACCTTCTATGTCCCTCCTATTGACCAATCAGATTCCACCTCTCATATCACTTGCATTTGCTTCAAATAAAATGGCGACGCCCAGTCAAGAAGATCTGTTTGATGATCAAGTTTTTCTTGTAATGAAATGGGTCTTAATTCATGAAGTGCATCAAATCATGTGTGCACCTTGATTAAAATCATGAATAGATTTGGAAAATATCTGTTGACGCTAAGTTGACGGTACACATGCTTTGCAAATCCTGCAATCAACCAAAATCTGCACAGCACTTTTTGAACCTGGAAGATGATTTCATTACGCGATTTTGATTGGACTATGCATAGACACGTTAGTCCAGCCAACAGATAACTCCATCGTTCCAGCTGGCAAGAGTGGAAACTGGACTTTTATCATCAGTTGACTCCCTTGCCTCAAGAAGATGGACTGGAAGTGAAAAACTATGGTTGTTATTGCACTACTGTGACAAATTCCACTTTACCATTAATAAATATTGATACATTATATTATAAATAGCAGTCAGCCTCCCTAAATATCATCAGATACTCATACCAATCAACAAGTAAATTCATTCTTTTTTAACAACAGTAATGATTCCAACACACATTTCAAATGTTCTGTAACATTAAGTTTTGACATTTCCAATTGGCAAACAAGGACCCTCATCCTACCTCGTCCTTAGTACATGTTCAATACTTTAAGCCAGAAAGGATACACAACTTCATACTCTCCACCCAAGTACTGGTCAATAAAACCTTTGCCGGCGCTAGCTCCTGCAGAACCCTGGAACATAGCAGCATCTACTGTACAAGCAGTGACAGAGTGACAGAGAGTGGTTTAATTAACTGTTTTTCAGTTATTGAAAAGAAATACATAATCAAACATCAATTTTGTCAGATATCCAATATTTTTTATTTGGTTTTGAACCAGGGAACATAAACTCTTCGCTATATTTTTTTGTATGTCTGGTCACAGACAAATGAATGATTTGGTTTAACGCTGTTTCTAACAGTATTCCAGTTATATCCAGCGTGTCAGCTTATTGTGGGGGTAAAGCCCGAAGTGATCAGGTCTCAGGCGTTTCCCACTTCGGTGAAACCCACGAGCACAAGCACGGTGCTGACAAACCTAGAAACATAATCGTGGCGAATGGGGATTCGAACCCACAATCATAGGTTTCTTGCGTGCCAAAGGCACAGTGAATCGCGGCGCCTTAAATGACTGGGCCACCCGGGCCACCCGGGCCACCCGTGCCCCCCTGGTCACAGATTAACTTACCTACCCATTTTCCACTCCTGAATAATGACTTAGCACGAAATAGGTTAAACAAACTTGGCTTCAAAAAGTGTGGTGGTTATGTGTGAATGTGATACGTTTACAACCTGATAAATGTCACTATTACAGGACCAGCTTAGCTGTCTAACTATGCAACAATATTACAAGACACTGAAAAACCCAGATAGTATCTTTACACATGCACACGTAGTTTGACTACTGTACATAGATAACTGACTGCAGTGCATAGATGTTTTGCAACCATACACAGATGTCTGATTGCCTTACAGATATATGACTGCCAAAAATAGATATCAGACTGACTTACATAGATGTTTGACTACCATGCATAAATGTTTGACTACCATACATAGACGTTTGATTACACTACATAGACGAATGACTACACTATATAGATGTCTGACTACCATACAGACGTTTGACTACTGCATATATAGATGTTTGACTACCAAGACATTGATGTTTGACTACCATAGATAGACATTTGATTACACTTCATAGACGAATGACTACAATATATAGACGTTTGATTACCATACATAGATGTTTGACTACCATACATAGACGTTTGACTACCAAGACATTGATGTTTGACTGCCATACATAGATGTTTGACTGCTGTACATAGATGTTTCTCTCTTACCTCTCCACCTGACTTGATGCTTGGCAATTTCTGTTGCAAACTTCGAACAATCTCTGTCCAACATTCATTGGCATCCTGGGATTAATATACAAGATCATCAAAAATGTCAAATAACATGATTGAGTCAATACCTGTTACACTCAAGTGAAGATCAATCAATATCTTAAAATACGTTACTATGATGTCACTCTATTGTTTCAGCTATAGATTATCAATTCACTGACCTACTTTCTGCAATGCAAATGTTAAGCTCATGCATAATTCTCTGTACGTGCATTACAAATGTACTGGCTCCAAAGACCAAATCTCACAAAATGCACATGCAGTACGAATATACGGGCAATTCAAATGCAGTATGTATATCGAAGCACAAATTTAAACGTCTAGTACGATTGTGTTGCATGAAATTTATGTTGTATCTATTTCCATTTATTCTTTATATTGTTTTAACATTCTGGCTGTATTTTATATCTTATTACACAGCATTTTGCTATTTTGATGCTGTAGGTTAGGTCCGATAACGCATTCCTTACAAAACATTGGTTCGAGCCAGCAATACATTATTTGTAACAAATGTCCAGTTACGTGTACATTATCCTCAACATGGTGAAGGTGTTTTCAATAGGTAAATATTCCATAATCAAAGTATTATGTTTATTTTATATACTTATCCTGCATGACATATTGCACATTGTTCTTACTACCAACAATCTCATTAAAATCAGACCTTAGTTCTCGCTACCGCTAAACAAAGATCTGAGGACATCCCAGTTGAGGTCACGTCAGAACGACCTTTCACCCGACCAATCAGAGCGTCACTTACCAGATCATGAAAGTGACAGTCGGAATGTGATTTCTCATCATGCATCCTCGAAAACTTTAACACGGGGTATTCTGAACGATAGTTACGGGTTAAACGACTGAATCCATACAATCTACACCATCTATTAGCGATTCCAGAATGTTCATTTGTTCAGGTTTCAAATTTGTAATCGAGAATTTGTCAAAATATGTTTCGAAGCGTTGTCGCCAATTTGAAAATAGTGCCGTAAAGCATGAGAAAGCTGCCTTCTGATTGGTCATTCCATTGGTTGGTCAAAGTTCGCGCAAGGTCGGTCTGACGTGTTCCGTAATAGGATGTTCTCAGATCTTTGTTTAGCGGTAGCGAGAACTAAGATCTGATTTTAATGAGATTGTACTACCAAAGTACTAACTGGAAATGTCCAGTGGCTCTTCGCCCAACATGACCTCCATGACCCTTGTGACATCAGGTGTCGGAAGACACGCCCCCTGTATGTCATTATTGTCTGCGAACGTCCCTCAGGGCTGATGGTACTTTAGGAAGGAAGACATAAGTCACAGGAGGGCCCTTGGGTTATGCAGGATAAGTATATCAAATAGACATAATACTCTGATTATGGAATATTTTTAACTTCCAACGCCAGATGCCATGAGGGACATGGAGGCATGTTAGCAAAGAGTTACTGAAGATGCTGATAGATCGTCATTCATTTCCAGTTAGGACTTCGGTAGTAAGAGCAATGTCCAATATGTAATGCAGGATAATTTAAAAATATAGCCTCCCCCTCTGTACTGGTGTTGTCATGGTTACCTGCTGCTGGTAGCCACCGTGCTCGCTCTTCTCCGCGAATCGGGGGAACACCATGTGCAGCACCTGGAGGAAGATGATGGGCGGGATGGCGGATGACGACATCTCCATTGTCTTGTACAGGTCTCGCAGAGCTAGCAGGCACATCACACATAAATCATCATCATCATCAACACACACAATGTACATCATCATCATCATCATCTACACACATAATGTACAACATCATCGCCCCCATTATCATCATCAACATCATCAACGCACATATAAAGTACATCATCATCAACACACAACGTACAGTACTCCAGAAAGGTTTTCAACCATATGAGTACAGTACTGGTCATTGTCAGAACTGACGAGTACCAGACATATTTTTAAAGTACTGTACTGCTCCTTTGTAGAATTGACGAATACTTGCCAAACTAATGTAGACGAAAGAATTCAAGAGTATTATTCATTAGCCAATCACAATGCAGGACTGGGAGGAAGACCATTTGCTGCACACAGGAAATGACAAATTCCAGTTTAAGCGGAAGCTAATGCCTGGTGTGGTAAACAGAAGTTTAATGATGTTTTGAAGAAACTTTTTGAGAATAAATAGACATGGTACAGTGACAATTAATTGTGAGAGTGTTTGGTATTGTATTTGATATGGTTGTAATTTGCAATCTGTCCATATTTGACTAGTTTTCACCCATACAATACACCGATACGGCATCTATCTGGAGCACTTAATGTACATCTTCATGATCAACACACACACATCATCATGATCAACACACATAGGCAGCAGGAGTCATACAGAACTGGTTGTGGGAGATGTTTTTCATGCCAGTCAGCAATATTGCAGCTGCATCATTGCTGCCTGTAAGTCCTCATGTCTGGGCCAGACGAACCAGTTGATAGCTGTTGGGACATGACAATACTCTGCGACGATCAGTCACAGACCCTTACAACCTGACTGCTATTTCACACAGCTCTTAACACCTTGGAATCCCACCAAAGTGAATCCTCTGATATAGTGTAAACAGCAATAAGTCAACTGGGTCATGCCAGCATCATTCTGGCAGGCAGTGGGTGACAGCATGAGTAAGGTCCACTGATACACCCAGGTGTCTCATATACATCACACTGGTCATCATCCATCTTCTCAAGGCAAGGGAGGTAACTGACTGTAAAAGTCCAGTCCGAACTCAGAGCGCCACCAGTGGCTATTACGAACCATGTCCCTCCTATGTCCTTTCCCAATGCCCAATCAGATTCCACCTCTCGTATCACTTGCATTCGCAACCTGTCTGTCTGCATTTGCTTTTAACAAAATGGCAGCACCCAGTCAAGACGTTCTGATCAATAATCAAAATCTTTATTGTAATAAAACTGGTCTTACTTCACAAAGTGCATCATCCCAAGAGAGCACCTTGATTAAACACATGAAAAGATTTTGAAAAAAGACTAAACCAAATTGACAAAAATATTAGGTGGGAAAATCCACAAAGATGGGCCTATGGTCATAGCACCACATACAGATCTACAGTTAGTGTCACTGGGTGTTTTACCTGCTGTGATGGAATCCGCAGGGGCAATGGCTCCGGCCACTGTGAGACCACCAGTGTACCTGAAGGGAGGTGAAAAAGCTGTAGCACAGTGCACAATCTCAAGCTACATCTTGTTTGTTATTTAACATTGCACTCCCCAGAAATACAGCTGTATGATGGTGACCTCTAAATAATCAAGACCAGACAATTAAGTGATTGATATTATGAACAAAGATCAATGCCTTTGGGGTATGGTGACACCCATCAGCCAAGTCACCGACCCTGACCATGTGATCCATTAAGTCGCCTCTTATAACACGCATAGGTGGCTGTGGACAAATCTTAACCTGTCATCCCTACTGGGAATAGACAATAGTTATGTGTGCGACATGAAGTAAGACACTACGATGCAAGGGACTAGAGTGAGTGAGTGAGTTGGGTATTACTCTGCTTTGAACAGTATAACAACATGAGTGAGTGAGTGAGTATGGTTTTACGCCGCTTTTAGCAATATTCCCGCAATATTACGGCGGGGGACACCAGAAATGGGCTTCACACATTGTACCCATGTCGGGAATCGAACCCGGGTCTTCGGCATGACGAGCCAACGCTTTAACCACTAGGTTACCCGACCGCCCCTATAACAACATGAAGGTATGCAGGGAGGATGAATGAACAGCCAATAAAAAGTGATGTGCATAACATGAAGTAAGACACCACATGTTGCAAGGCACTAGAAGTTATGCTTTGAGGATAAACGAACACATTGTTTTTTACTGTGGTACAATAATGAGCAAGAGACGGGACAGGGACAATGAAGAAACAGCCTGTAGTTCTGTGTATGACAGGAAGCTAGAGATCTGTACTATTCAGCCATTATTTTCACACTGATTAATAAATATAAAACACATGTTCGCACACACAAAATAAATGGTTCTGATTACGATGCAGTGAACCCATGTTTTATCAGTTAGGATAAAAAAATAATAGTCTTGGTTATCAGGCAATGCTCGCATCATCAAAAAGTCTGGCACACGTTTCGTTTTTATTTCCATTTTCAAAAGAAATAAAAAATCCTAAACACAATGCGATCCAATATAGCACACAGTTACAGTCAAGTCTCGTTAATCCAACAATCGGCTTTACCCGACACTAATGATGGGAACCGATTAAATCCGTTTAGACCCGTTAATCCGACAGTTTCGCACTCCGACTCCGACACACCTAATTTGCAACGTATTACTGAAATCACTCATTAATCAGTCTCTTTAATCTGACAGCGTGATCAGCGTGCTCCTTGGTCATCTGCCCGCGAGTACACAGCCCGTGTTATGATGCAAGACGAGTCGGCTGGTAGTTGCATATTACAACGGCTGCAGAGATAACCTTGCTCAACAATAAACAATTAATGCTTTAAATAAAGAAAACAGGATTAATCACATGCTTAGATTACCTCAATCTCGTTAAAATCAGATACAAGTTCTCGCTATCATCGAGGACATCCCATTACAGGTGACGTCAGAACAACCTTTCGCGAACTATGACCGACAAATGAAATGACTAACAGGAAGTCAACGTTAGCCACTTAGGAAAAAGCTTTCTTAAGCTTTGCGGTACCAGTTTCAAACTTGCAACTTCCTTTCCACACTATGCTTTTTGAAGCACTATATTGTCAAAAATCATTGCCTGAGAACCAATTCTTTCATTTTTTTAAGCCTTACACTGTTTATTCCAAGTGTTTACCTTTTGAGTGAATCTGTGAGTTCTGGCACGGCTCGGAGACACTGCACTACACTGTTCATGTAACATGTGTTGCCCAGATTGGTCAGACCAGCTGGGAGTGCCATCTGAAGGACAATCAGATATTACACAGCATTCTTCGTTTTAAGCTTTTTTCTAATATGAAGAGGTGAATTGTTCCTATTAAACTTCAAGCACTCTTCAAGGACTGTTAGAACTCAAGCACTTTGACAAATCCAAAACTTGAGTACTTTTCACTGAAAAGGGTTAAATAAATAGAAGCACTTGTCACTTGTAAGACCCTGGTATACCATGTGTGTGTTGCTTAATGTCACACTAAGCAATGTTCCAGCCTTTTGACAGCAGCTTTTAAGTCATCGAGTAAATAAAAAGATCCTTAGTTTTGACCAGACAATCCAGTGATTGATATTGTGAGCAAAATTCCACGCCAAAACCAAAACCAACCAAGTGACTGATCCTGACGACCTGATCCATTTGGGGACCTCTCACATCCAGCAGTTTTACTGGGACCTATTCTAACCCAGAATCTCCAGCTTGGTGTACATACCGCTGATGCTAGTTCCTGTTCACTCATGTCCTCCACGAACATGGGCCTCTCGGTAGGCTCTTGGGGCAGCTCCTCCGCAGTCCCCATCATCAGCAGCATGGCGCCCTGCAGCACACCCAGGCATCATGTCACAAGATTCCAGTCCCGATTATATTTTGATTTGAAAGCTTTTTATTTATTTAACTGTCCAGATGGAAAGAGAATAGGTGCAGATTTAATACAATTTGAAATTAAGTAGTCCCAAGAAGACACCTTTCAATTATCATTGATCATGCTTGTAAATTTAACCATAGTAACCATAGTAACAATTCTAATATTGGATATATCATGTATAGCTGAAGCATGAGATACATATTTGAGGACTTACATCTTTCAGCTTCATATTTCCCCATTCATCATCCTGCAATCATAATAAGAGTGAGTGAGTGAGTATGGTTTTACGTTGCTTTTAGCAATATTCCAGCAATATCACGGCGGGAGACTCCCCCAAATCATAATAAGAGCATAAGAAAGCATATTCAAACAAATCTGACTCATAATTAAAAAGTATTGTGTAATAAAATTAGAGCATTTCAGAACTGTTCTCAACCATGCAATACCCCTTTTGTTAAGAAAAACATAAATATAATGTATAATCATGGACATTTTATTTGTTACTTTTTAAAAAAACAAAAACAAGAGTAGCTGGGAATCACTCAATCAGTAATGCACTCATTGATTGGGGACACTTGTACACAGAGCATGCAAAGTCATCTTATGGGCACTTCAGTGATTTTTCTAAAGTGAGTGAGTTGGGTTTAACGCCGCTTTTAACATTATTCCAGTTATATCACAGCGTGTCAGCTTAATGTGGGAGGAAAGCCCAAAGTGATGCAGGTCTCAGACATTTACCGCTTCGGTGAAACCCACGAGCACGGGTATGGTGCTGACAAACCTAGAAACACAATTGGGGTGAACCGGGATTCGAACCCACTATCATAGATTTCTGGCGTGTCCAAGGGATGTAACTCTGCACAGCGAATTGCGTTTTTTCCAAAGTATGCGAAAATCCACATTTTGTAGTTGTTATAAATATCCCAAGAGGTGATCCTGACTGATAATATCAGGAAACCGACTCACAATATGATAAAGTCAGATGTTAAGATGATACAGTTGTTAACATGATTAACATGACCAAAGGGGCTTCAATTAAAGAATATTCCCTCAAAGCCATGTATGCGACAGGGATCATGGCACATGCAACAATCCCATTCAGCAAACAGATGCCCTCATAATAATAGGAGTCATATGGATTTTTACATGTTTGTATTTTGAATACTGTATTTTCTTATGTAGAATATACACAATACACACACTATTCCCTGTATAGATTTTTGGAAATGATGTTATCTTGTGTACAGTCAAAAACTAAATGGTTTTGCTTCAGGTGAAGTCCTGGTTGCAAATAATGGGGATTACAAACATGGTTAAAACATCATTCTACCATGAATTTGGAAAATAATCGATTTTGCATGGTCTATTACAGGTATCAAATCACCCAAAATATCCTCTGATTGAAACAGCTGATTTGATGGCCACATCACCATGGAAGCTAATATTTTTAGAATAGTACTTCTTTTGCAGAGTTGCAGAGTTGCAGTTACTACAACATTAAAAGGCAATACATTTCGTGCAGAAAACATTATACAAATCTACAAAGAGAAAATATTTCCAGTTTGGAGGACAACAGAGTATGTTATTTGGCACTTTTCTATATGACTGACATCATATCTTTTACGTCACAAAGAGCGATATGACGTCATGATAGTGACATACTGTGTAGAACAAAACCTTTGCAAGGCTTGCAGAGATTTCTTTAAGGGTCCCTAGATCATGTTAGCTTATGAAGTTGCAGTGCTACATGCTTTCAGTGCCTGTCATAAGTTCCAGTGAGGTATTAATGTGTACTGCTTGAGAATATAGAGCTCCATATTTTGTTTAAAGGCTGTTGTCGGTGATTCCGTAAATGCTGATAGACAACCCTCTAAACACTGGATCAACCCATACCACTTCACTCAATATATTTGCTGACACCAAAGAGTTCACATTTTAATTTAGTCATGGTAGACTAGAGATACACATACTGTGTTTTCAATGTAGAGCAAGCTTACCTGTAGACTAACCTTGCTATATTTAACATTCCTTGCGAATTTGTTTCCAAATTCAATTAAGCGTGGTCAAATCAACAGGTAACCACAGTATATTTATCTCCTAAATAGCATGGGTATATTTATATGATATCACGGTCAGGCTGATGTATCAGATTAACCTGTGCATGTTATTCCTACAACAGCCTGACTGTGACGTAAATATACTGTATGTTTATCTCCTAAATGTAAAGGTAATTATTGTGATATACAATTACTTGGCATGTTCTTTTTCTGTTTCAAATGTTCTTCCAGTTTCAGACTACACTGTAGTACAGTATTCCTGTTTACCGGTAATTACCAGTTTTTTACCGGTACAATTGGCTTGGACCAGTAATTCATGTGACTGCCAGTCCCCGAGGACCGGCAAAAAAAGTACTTTATAAATCTTTGTTGTTGAACAAAACATCGGTTATATTCATATAAGTACATTTTTTTAACAAAGTCAGCTTGTCTGTTACCATCAGGGTTTCCCCTTGTCTATTTCTAGGTTAAATATCCATTTGTAACGACTTCGTCTCAAAATATTTTAAAAAAAAGAGAGAGAAAATTGTGACTGAAGTTTGTGTGAATGATGTATAGATCTAACTAAGTTACTTCAGAGATGACATCTTTGCACTGAACATGATGTTGAAAGAATTAAAACCAAATAATTGCCATATGTTTTTTTTATTTGTTGAAAGTTGGGACTGGCTAAAATTAGGGGGGATTGGTAACACTGGACTAAAAGGCAATTAAGGATATGTTGATTGGGTCTGGAATTCCCAGTCCATATCAAAGACCAGTATTTCTACTAGTCAGAAACCTGTATCACAAAACACTGCCCACCTTGAGAACAGCTCCTTTCATCATGACCTTCTGGCGGTCAGGCTGGACCCCGGACAAGGCAAACAGCTGGGCCTTGAAGACCACCGGAGGCTCATCAGTGTTACACTCCACATCTCCAAACTTCTCCCTTCCCCACTTCACATTAACTGAAAAATAACATTTTTGTAATTCTGAAATTAAACAGATAATGTACTACAAATTTACAGTAGAAATGAGTGATAGAAGAAAGACTACCCCATGACTGTTGAACAATACCGGTATCTATTTTATGAAAACAGAACCAATCTAGATTATATAAAAGCAAGTCTGGCAATAAAGTTTGCATGGTAGCTCCCTGCTGGTCTGACATGACCACCTTCTCACCCAAATGAATTTGTACCCGGAGAAATTCCGTACCAAAAATCAGAAGAATTTTTATAACCCAAAGCAACAAGCAAAGTATGTTACATCAGTATGTACATAAACTATTTATTTTGATTTAAACCTCAATAAAAGAACGACCTGACCTAAATCCTGCACTAAATGGAAGAGTCCATCATCTCAACTGCAGAGGGGCAATAGGCTATTTGAACAATCTGTTTAACGTTTAAGAACACACTTTTTTTTAGTGAACAATTACTTATGGGCAGTAGCAGTAGCAGATGGAATGGAGATAGATGTGTTTTTAACAATAACACATGATGAAGTGAAGATTAATTGATGGGGCAGATAAGTTATTTCAAAAGGATTAACATATGGTGCTTAACTTAATAGCTTGTTCTCAGTAACAGAAAGACATGGCCTTTCAAAAAAATCAGATGATTAAAAACTTATTAAAAAAATATGTAATACGACAATAATATAACCTTCATAAAGATATATTTAGAAATATACATTTATTTTTATGGTAACATATTTTCCAGGGGTATGAAATATCTATGGTACAAACTTGTTTGGGGTACAAATTTACAGAAACCTGATGAAACACACTCACACAGGTATTGTGCCCAGAAACAAACATAGCAACCAGCATTTGAACACACGACCATAGATTTCTAGCTGAGTGGCACTCCTAACATACACAGCACTGTACAGCAAATCGCCTTAAACATGTTAACCGACTGGGCCATCTGTGACCCCCAATTCCAATCTAACCTTGCACAGCCATTATTTTTCCCCTTAGTTTTACAATTTAAAAGGTCTTTTTTAGAAAAGTGTTCTGAGAATGATCACTACAAACAGTCTATAACATGTGATATTTGTTAAGATAGTTTTATCAATAACCAAATCATCATGACTGTCTGGGTTTTTTTTGCCCAGTCTAATCAAATTAATTAAGAAGAGATCTCAAAATGACAAGATGATCCAAAAGTTTTAAGAACAGACTGGCAACAAACTTTCACCGTTTCCAAGAGCCCGACTGACACTACACATTTCTACTTTATGTGAAATACATGTTAAAAAAGACTGAAACTATTCAAAAATATAAATTGAGAAAAATTACAAGACAGTAATGAGCATTATCAAAAAATAAATTTCTTCAGTTTGATTTCAGTGATCAAATTATGTATTAAATGTCATACATCAATGTACTAGGAACCAAATAAATGAAAAAGTAGTAATAAGACACATTTACGATAACATTTATCCGAACCGGCATACGACGAACTTATTGAACGTGAGCGAATTCTGGGGTAATGTTTGATCGAATCCGAACACTTCATTGTTCTCAAAGCCTGGCCATCGCTTCTTTGAAACTCACGAAAAAAGACATAGCATAAAGAAATAATTTATGTATCAATCTAATTACTACTCGTGTAATACAACAATCATGCTCGGAAAACCTTTAAATGTTGGCATTTTCTTCGGTTTTCAAATCGTGCATGTCACAGGAAGTTAGGATTTACAGGAAGTTTCAACCACGCGTGCGTGGAATATTTATTTAATCCCGCGGTAAATATTCTAAGAATACTATAATCGCCATATATATTAATATTATCTGCAGTTTACGCTCGGTGTACGTCGATACTCAGCATAGGGTCATTTTAGTACCACTATATGTAACATTTTATTTGTTGCATAATAATAGTAAATTTTCACCTTTCATTCGATGCGGTATTCGCATTCACCTCTTCGAAGATTTGTGACAAAGTTTCGTCCACTGCTAGAGTGGCTGTTGTGGTCCTGTTTACAAACATACGATGGATCTTCTATACGTGATATTTACCTAACAATGGGTTGAGGTTCTCTACAACAAGACAGGTACGGTTTCACAGCTTTAACTTTACAGTTTGTGTTAATTACATACAGGGTGACAGTTTCGAGCACCTGTCTAGTGTCACTTGTAAACAGGTACTGTGTTATTACACCTAACCCTTTTATCAGATCCTGAACGTGTGAAAAGTTAGATCTAATTGATTTAATAGAAGATCCATGTTATTTTAAATTTAGGGTAATTGTTTAGCATTCCTTGGTAGAGCTGGCTTTCCCATAACTTTTTAGAATGTTATTAAAGTGTACATAGATCTAGTCGTAGGCTGGGATCGACAAGTACTTACACTAGGGGGCCTCGTCAGATGAGAGTGGAGGTCGGTACTACACGAGTAAGTTATGGGCCATTTGTACGTGATGTAATATTTCACAACATAAACTGACATAAGATCTTTGATAATATAACCTGATTTGTTCACCACCATAAATCTGTGTATCATTTGGGACCATCATTTGATTGAAGTCTACTGGTCCCATCATTTGAATGAAATACTGGGCCCATTAACTGGGGATGGATATGTATACATAAACAATGGTAGATTTACTCAGGTGTATAATAGATGTGAGTCTTGAGCCTTCTGTTGGATTAGCTGTTGTGTTGTATTGCTTCATAAGACTGGCAGCATTTATGTATCATATGTATATGTATAGAGAGAGGGAGAGAGACGGAAGAGGCAATTTATTTTGAGACAAATGTTTTGACAGACAGTATTGTTGATTGGATTCTTGTATTCATTCTAGTTACTAATTATTGGTCAGGTTGGTTAGCATTGTTATGGTTAGACTGAAAACAAATCTAAGTATATCAGTATATTTATGTGAGTTGATTCTTGGATTTCAAGCTGTATGATTTTCGTTTTCAAAATTGGAGCAAATAGAATTTTATCTGAGGTGAATGTGAGGCTGAAATGATATTTCGTCTTCTGGTCATATGCTTATTTTAATAAGTCTATATAAGTAGTGTCAGATTTGTATCTTTGTAAATATTACTCAAATTTATGTAGATTTTTTAATCTTTTGCAGGTCTTAGTGGATAACCACCATGCAAGATTATCTATATGAACTGTAATTCACATCTTCGAAGGGTTTACCATTATGTTTCCATAAGACGGAAATAAGAACTGGTGAGAATTATAGCTTGTGATACAGAGTCTGATTACACCGTGTGTTGAGTCTGTGACGGAGTTGACCATGAGGGAGGAGGAAGTGGAGATTGCCATCAAAGTGGTAGTCGTGGGCAATGGTGCCGTGGGCAAGTCCAGCATGATTCAGCGATACTGCAAAGGGATATTTACCAAGGACTATAAGAAAACTATTGGAGTTGATTTCCTGGAGAGACAAATTGAGTAAGTATTCTTTTTTCAACAATTCTTTGTAATTTTGTTGTTCAGTCTTTAAACCTATCTGTCTTTAACAAAGTCCGTCTTAATTTTCAGATAAAAAACAAATGTCTTGGCTTATTACTGTAAAAACTGAACTTTGTTTTTGTCTAAGGAAGGTGTATTTTATGTCAACTTGCATGCACATACATTGCTGTATTAGGGCTCATCTGTTTGAAATGTAGTGACATTTTGTGAGGGAACACATTAAGAAGTTAAAATAAGAATATTGATTGTATCAAAGAGTAATGTCTCTACTAGTAATGTCCCTACTCATCTCTTTTGCTCCTTACATTACCAATTACCATTGTCGATAATAGACCACACCCATAACGCCCTGTAGAAACCTACAAGATCGATGCTAAACACGAAATGTTAAAAAACTGTATGTATATATGTGTCTTTATTTTTTCTTAAATGCTTTGTTGTATGAGTAACTCAAGCACACAGCAACATTTGTTAGACACGGTGTAACCTCAGACCATGTAGACAGCTGCCCGTTATATAAAGTCTTCAGTAAGACAATGGGAGTCATTCCTGTAATTGAATCACCAAGTTTAATAATTGACATCACTGCCACCATTGGAACCTGAAACAGCAAGAAAAAGGCTGTCAAAAACTGTCAGAGTAAGCTTTTAATGTAAACTTTTTTAAGTAAACTAGATCAAACACATCAAACATTGGTGATGTGCTGTCAATTTGTTTATTGTAATCTCAATTCTCATACCATTCTCATACCATACACAGAGATGTGGTGTTCAATTACCCAACATACCCTAATTTAAGGTCTCAATCCTGGTTTATTTTTCAGTAGTCTCACTTTTTGTGACAAAACTAAGGGCACACATTAAAATATACACCAAACTGTTAACTTTACAGTCGTTCACCAACATACTTGTTCATTCTTTTTTTTAAAAAAGCCCATCCACCTATGATATTTTGAAATTTAGTAGAGGTGGTACCACAGCAGTAGTTTTATTAGGCCTTAGCACTGGTCAGTCTTCAGTCACAAAATAAGGCCCAGGTGTCAACATGCTTACATGGTCCTTGTCAGAAACCAAATGTATATGCAGTCTGTGACTTTAGCCCTTCATCCATAGCCCAAATCTAGTCAAATTTCATTCAGTCTGTCAAGCTCCATACATTAACACAAAGATCTACTAAAAATAATGTAAAGTCACAAGTTCGGGCTCGTGGACTTTGGACATTTTTGGCACAGACTGTACATGTGTAAACTGTCATGGGGTACTTTGATTAGATACTAATTTCCTTAAACTTCAAGCATATTTTTGTAAGACTTCACTGAAGTCAGGAAGAACTATGTTTGTGACACTCACTCACATGCAGTCTTTACAAAATCAACAAAAGCTGATTTTAGTTTAGGAGACCAGGGACACTAGATCAGTTTTGGAGACCAGTGACACTAGAGGCGGCACGGTTCACATCATCTTGTCAACATCAGGGTTCAAAGTATATTTGCTGATGTGGTTAAAACAGGGCCACCCATTCCTTGTCTGAATCAGCGTGTTGATGTGTAAACATGACTATGTTTTCTAGATGGTGTGAGAACATGTAGGACTCTTGCACTGACATAGGTTCAGACAATCCAATAATGTCCTGGGAGCCCTTGGGATTGTGTGTAAGCGTAAAGGTTCCCTGAGCAACCTGTGCATGTTGAAAGAGGTTTGGTGGTCAGGATAGGTGTCTTGATTGCATGTCATTGCATCTCAATTGTGTGGATCTATGCTAATGATATCAATCACTGCATCATCTGGTCCAGGCTTGATTATGTACAGACTGCCATCAATTGCAGGGATACTGAGGAATTACGAGTACAACAACAAACAAACAACGTTGTTCTGCACCAGGGTCTAACTACTCTAGCTGTTTGTACTGGACTGCTGTGTTTTTCAGAATAAATCATTTGAAAATACTTTTCAAGTATAGATTTACATATGTAGTATTATCTGTCTGCAAGTTGACCATGTTTACCCACCAGCTCAAGCAGTGGTCTGGTATTCATGGTCCACTAACTGACTAAGCTTTGCTGGGACAGCCCATATGTATTGAGTAAACTCTGCAACTAAAGATGAGGATGTACAAGTCTTGTCTAATCGACTCTAAAACAATTTCCACAAATTATGAAATATTTAATTTTTCTCTTTTGGAGATAACAGAGATTTGAAATGTGACACTTATCAGGAAGTATTTATTTCCTGAAGATATATTAATCAAAGAAGTGCTTACCTAAACACTTTGATAAACTGTTTTAACTTTAACATTATTTGAAAACGTCTCTGCAAGAATACATCATTCAGAGGAAATGGTTAAGATGAAAAACAGATACCTTGAGAGAGAGAGAGAGAGAGAGAGAGAGAGAGAGAGAGTATAAAATACAAAAGTCCAAAGATGTGCTGTATAATTTACTCAACCGATTTCATAAATGTGATTTTCAAGAGTCACATACAGAATATAGATATCATATCTCATGTTATACTGTCCCTGTGTTTTAGTACTGGGATGGTTGTCTTACACAAATCCCATGACCACACCTTAGGGAATTTTAAAACCTGATCCAGGGTTCGTTCAAGCATGCGTCTCCTCCATATTGTCTTTGTCTGCCACCCCCAGGAAGGGGTATATAGAATAGGCATTAACACACACCATCAACAGTGGCAACCGCTGGGACTGAGCGTTCAGCCATAACGTGTATTGTGTGCGTGGTGATCAGATGTAATTAGTGTATAATTGAGCACTATTAGAGTGTTTGGTAACTGTTTATTACTGTTGTTTAATAGGGTGCTCTGTAAAAAGGGTAGTTCATTTTGAGGGTATTGGGCAGATTAGGAAATTAGCATTTTCCTGACACCTCTGGCAGTAATAGAGTAATTATGTTAGCTTATCCCTCTCAGTATACTAAGCTAGTATTATCTGGTGCTTTAGATGGTATTGTGGTTCTTAAGAAAATAATTCACTCGAGTGTGGCATTGATGGTACTAACTGTTATGGTTACAGCTTCTGTATTAGTGTTATTATATTAGTTTTGTGGTGATGATTGGGCCGTTTTTTCACAATTATTACTAATCCAGTTATTACTAAGCTGCCAATTATGGGCAATATCTGGACTAGAGAAATGGTTTTTCATTAGCTTTATCATATTGATAAAAACAGTTATCTGTAAGAAAAGGAGCAGATATAAAGCTGTCTGAAAAATCAAAATATTATGAATAAGAATATTTTTTTGTATATTTCAGAAAATAAGAAATATCTTGTCTAGCACTAGTAGCAGCCATTGTGTTTTATTGTGATGTCCACCCAGCCGAATAAGATAGTTACAAATAATATCAGTTTGATAGTTTTGGTTTATTCTGAGCAATGGTTTTAAATAGCGACTTAATTCAGTCATCAGTAGGCTCGGCATAGGACAAGGCTTTGCTTACATCAGCTCTGCTCGCTGAGGGCTACATGCAAATTCTGAGAGCATGTAGGTGTTAAAGTGGCGAAAGGGTAACATTTAGTTTCTTTAACCTGCTGTCTGACAAATATAAATACCAATGTACAGCATGTGCAGGTCTCAGTGACCTACTTAATCCGAGGGCGCCACCTGGTGTCTGTGTCAAGGAAAAGAAAACAATACTTGTGTTTCAGGTAACAAGCCTTTAAATTGTTTGATAGGCATTACTACCCATGTCTTTTTATCACAGATGGAAAGAAGCGTCAAGGAATTCGATGTTTCTGCATATATATAATCATTGTTTTAGGTGTATTTTCCCTTCATTATCGCAAAATATTGCAACTAATTTCAGTTCTAAACATAAGCCATCTGTGCTTGATATTTACATTTCTTATTTGAAAAACCCAAACTACCCACCAACAACTACTTGGGTATATGTAATGTGTATTGCTTCTGTGCATTGTTTCCGGAAAGCCACAGCAATAATTTACAAATTTGCAAGGAACTGATTAGAACAAAATTTCAAAATGAAAAAAAAAAATTCAATGTAAATTTCGAAAAGTTGATGGCAGATGTATCCTGCAGTGTTATATAACATAATATTTTCAATAGACACTCAAAATGCTAAACAAATCTTTTTCTTCTTTATTTTTTATGTGAAAAGTTGACATTTACCCCCATATGTCCATGTGTTTATGTTATAATTTCTTTTATCATGTTCCGGATTTCTGATCCATTAATTTTCTTTGACTTTGTCATGAAGTTTCATCCACATTTTGTAATGGTATATTGAAGAAATATTGTCCTTTCCAAAGCTGGTCAAATCAGGAAAATGTCCCAATTCTATTTATCTCTAGTAAAATCACTGGTGTTTATGATGTGCTAAGTGCACTGTTGTGGTAGCACTAGCTGTTTGACGAGTCAGGTGTTTTGCTGGCACACTTGACTAATTAGAAGATGAAAGCTTCTCCTCTGACCCAGTGCAGCGTGAGCCTTACACAGCTCTTCCCTCCCTCCATCCAAAGCTGTGTAAAGCGCTTATGCTGAAAGTAGGAATCTGTCCCAGGCAGCAGGACCCGAGCAGAGCACTGGCAGAACTTGAGGAGACTCTTCACCTCCTGGGTTGGGCCTCGGCTTAATGGTGACGAGCTAAGGATGGGGGATGGGGCATGTCTTTGATCAGATCTTACATCTTGCCTTTCATATTTGTAATTTGTTTGAAGATTATGCCTATGATGTTGCCTGGCCCTGCATCTGTTTAGATTGATGGTTGTCAGGGAAACAGCGGACTGTTTGAACTTGAACCCTCGCAGCATTCATAAGTTAGAAAGAACATGTCTTCAGCATGTTTCAAACCTGTTGCATGTGGTTAACGTGTCTTGTGGATATTATTTCCTGTTAAAAATGAACAAAAACCATGATGAGTTCCTCGTGAATGAGTGGATGTTGTTCAGTATTCCAGCTTTATCCTGATACCACAACAGCCTGCACATAATCATTTCTGAACCAGCAG